TGAGCTACTCTGACCTCTCCCCATCCTCCTCTGCCTAGAATCCTTTCTGTCATTCTAATATCATTTCTGCTAACTACCCAGGAAGACTCTCTCTCTTGTCTATCTCTCTCTCTTAGCTGCTGCTCTAGGCCTCTCTCTCTTTCTTGACTTTCCTGAAGCTGCTGCTGAGCTTGTTGAAGCTGTCGTTGAAAACCCTGTTCTCTTTCCTCACCCTGTTGAACTTCCCTCTGAAGCTGTTGCTGGCTTTCCTGAAGCTGTTGTTGAAAATTCTGCTCTCGTTCTCTGGCCTCTCTCTCTCTTTCTTGTCCTTGTTGCTGTGCTTGTTGAAGTTGTTGCTGTAGTCTGTTTCTAACTTGTTCCTTTTCTCTTCTCTCCTCCTCTAGTTCCATTTCCCTTTCTTGTAGTACACGTGTCAGACGGTCTATTTCTCTTCTATCCTCAGGTTGAACAGGTTGAGATGCTTCCCATTCTCTTCTCCTTTCTTGTAGTTTCTCTTGATACTGGTCCAGAGGTACTATACTAGTAGACCAATCATTATTACTAGTATATCCTATACAACACAATAGTTGAATTAATGACTATAATGACAAGTACGTGACATGTACATGTATAATATAATTATTTGAATTATTGTGTCAGTTAATAAAGCAAATCTGGTGAAATAAATTACCATCTTTCTGGAAATTTTTACCGTCTGTGATTTTAATTCTACTGGATTAGAATTTCGCAAAAAATTGAATTACCCATATAATTACATGCCACATTCAATAATACACGACACAGTCTTATTTAGTAAAAATGAAATCACAGAGCAATTTTAAAACACAAAAATTATATACCGTACAAATTTCCTGATCTACGGTAATATTCTATACAATATGTACAATTTGTGTATATTCAATACATTTGTATTTACACGTACATGTACTCACTGAGTTCAATAACTGCTGTATCAGTGTATGATGTGACTCCTCCAAACACAATTATCCAGTTAGTGGTTGGAGTCACACTCCACAATGAGAGAGAATGGTACTTTCTATCAGTGACATTCTTTGGTATATTAAACTATAAAGGAGGATTATAATAAATATAACTTGTGATATTCATTGTCACATACTGTACATGCCTTGTTATTAAAATTTGATTAGCTCATTCCTCAATAGTTTATCCAAAGCCATAAACTCCACCCAAAATGTTTAAACCACACCCACAATATGTTATACTTACCAGTTCCTCCCATGATTTACTTTTAATATCAAATATCCCAAGATCAGAAGTATCATATCCACATACCACTAGTAGGTGTGGTCCTGAGCTAGTGTTAATCAATACACTGGAATGAGCACATCTTTCCTTAGGCC